GTGATGTTCTCTGAGAGATGCATGAAATCATAAACTTCGGAGGTGATTTCTCAAATATTGTTCTTTAAACAGCTCTGTTTAATGCTTGTAACTTCATAAAGAAATGTCGGACTTAAATTATTCTTTTACCATTTTATAGCTCCCGTTTTATTGTTTCACCCTGTATTAAAAACTAAAAATCGATTTTTGCGACCAGTGACTGGTTTGGCTTGTCTTTGCCACATATATGTATATATAATGTTTTTAATAATGAGAATGTGCCTAAATCCTATATCATGGCTATATTGGACGGTAATAAAAGTGTCAATATAAATGATATATTTCAGCCAACAATATTTTCAATAAACAATAACAATATGTATTTTTTTTTTCATTTCACTTGAAATGGACTTGGAATTAAGTTTGGCGGAGTTTTAACGAAAAGCAACTACAGGCCTCCGTCCAATTAAGGCCACTTTTGGGGCCCGGGTTTTTGGTGGTCTTAGCAGCTTTGGCCTCTAATTTGAATCCCTCTAATTAAAGACCGGCACTAAAATAGGTCCTAAATCTCATTATTTAGGGGGAAATTAAGAAATGGTGATAGTAAATGTAAGATCGTTTTATTTCAAATGTATTAAAATGAATTTACAGTTACTCTATTCTGTTATTTATTAATAAACCATTTCTGGGTATTCAGGCATCTAGTCCTGTGCTCGTTCTGATACCAAAATCTCCATTACAATATTACTAAGACGATCGTCCTACTAAAACTATCGGTAACTATCAGTATAGGCCTATTTAAGAGCACTGTATACACAAACCATAATCTTATGTTGTGTATTATTGAATGTCTAATATCATCATCATTATTTAAAGAAAAAAACTGCATTTAAGTCACTACCAGTATTATATTGTAATGTATTTTTATTTAAAGGGATTTTTTTAGTTAGTTGGTCTGCCAAAACCACATGATACATTAAGTTTGAATGTCCAACTAACACAATTTATATATTATTTTTTATTTCAAACATATTTATACAGGATTAAATAGGGGAGCTTTTCATAAGGTCCAGTAGGCAATCGAGGGCCCCCTGTGGGGGTCCAGGCGAAGCCCCCTGGAAGCTACGGATTTTTGACGAAGTTTGGTGAATTTTATTAGTTATTTTATAGACATCAAGCTACTGTAATATGACTTCATACTTGTTGTAATTTCCAGTGGGGGTGGGGGGGGGGGGGTGTTGGTGGTAATTTCGCGGATAGAGGAGCTACTATCTAAGCCCCACCATGGTTGGGGCTGAGATAAGAAAATTTGTGATAATGGCACCTCTAGATGGCCGGAAATTGCACTTCCAGACATAAAATCTTAATATAATTTTCTTTATATCTTCATTGAAAAAAAAAATTGAAATACACATCTAGATGTGTATAAGAGACGGACTCGGGCCCTCTTGAATCTGCCACTGGGTACTTTTTCAGATGGATTATTTATACCACCTCAGCTCCACCATGCTTAGGGCTGAGGTAAGAAAATTTGTGATTATGGCACTTCTAGATCGCCGGAAATTGCACTCTTAGACTCAAAATTTAGGCCCCACCTTTGAATCCGCCACTGATTTCCGAACAAAGTCGAAGTCGAGATTGCTTTCACGATCTCAATTAATTATTAATCATGAGGGGTATCCTTGATATGGGTACTCTCCGACGAAACCTTCCCTTTTCCCCCGATGGATAAAAACTACCCTTCTATAGTAGCTGAAATGATAGGCCTACTCCAACTGTGGCGGGTCCAGGAAGTCGAAATAGAGGGGACCCAGGAATGGAATGTCCACCCACGACGGTTGGGGCTGAGGGAAGAAAAAATATGATTATGGCACCTCTAAATGGTCAGAAATTGCACTCTATTAAAAGTTGAATACAATTTTGTCTGTTTTCTTCATTTAAAAAAAAATAATGTTGGAAAAAATTAGGAGGTTGAGGCTGGGCTCCCCAATGAATCCACCACTCTTCAATATAGGCCTAACACTTGACATAGCCTATCATTTTGTTTCACAAATGACTAATGCCTAATGTCAAGCGATTTTTTTTTTTTATTCGAAAGATTATTTTTATTCAATGCAGTTTTTATAACATAACACATTAACTACAGTGTACTGTAAATTCTGTAGTTAACCTTCAGAGAACTTTATTTTACAAAATGGCCTAATTATCATATTGTTTTCGATAAATTGAATGGAGTTTAAATGTGGTTATATTACGCTAGTTTGAAGGTTTACTGGTATACTCTAAGCCAATCAGTTACACTTACACTCTACATCTTCATGGTAATAGCATAAAGAGCGTCGCTTCATAAAGAAGGCCTCCGCTCTCCCTGCTATTATAACTCTCTTCAACTCACCTATGAACATCCACTGATGGCATTATTAACATTCACAACGTAGCGTCATCAAAGGATACGCCGTTCTGCCTTACGAAATTATATTTACCTCAACTCAGAATATCATTACAAACTCACGATGGTGCAGAAAGTTCTTACGTAATTTTAACAATACACTCGCCTTAAATGAACTTGCTGTCATTTGATTTTTAAAAAAAAATTACTAAGGCAGTCGCTCGATACCGACAGCATATACTGCATGAACCTTAATACACTTTTAAAACCACCAGTTTTAACCCACTTAATTCTTAACGCCATTTCTACTTTTTAAGAAAAAGGTATTTTTACCGCAGTGTACATCAACTTTTTACTTTGTATATACATGAAGCTATCAAATTGTTTCATAGCTCCATGGTATATACTATACTTCGCACTCCGCTGACACTTTCATCAATGGCTGACTCGAGAATCGCCATTTCTCATTTCATTCGGGAAATGCCCGACTTTTTTAGCCCAAACATTTTAAAGTGAAGTGAGATTTTTTCTTAATCTAGAGGCAACATAGAGAAACTTAGATAAATTAATTTGTAAATTACTATATCTAACAAACTTAAAAACTTATGGCGGTTCAGGTTAACCCAGAAGTGAGACGTCAGTAATGACTTTCTTTCTGATTTATAGGCAGGACAAATTTAAACAGAAATATATTTAATCTTAACAGTATTATATTCATTTGTACCATTTGTTTCCGAGTGGTTTATTCAACCAGTTGGCAATGCATCACCAAACAACTACGTTGACCCACAACATGTTCAGCCAGTGTAGAAAGGTAGTCTTCTCGTTTACTTAGAATCATTGTACCATCGACACTTAAGTCACAGTCGTCGAGATTTAAAGAGCATTAAGACTTCAACACATTCTGTGTTCACCCACTTCTATTTTTGGTGCTTAGTGGTGATATTGCCTTGAATTCCGGCCCCCGTAGAGTCAAGGACCCTTGTGGAAAATGTTCCATAGAGGTCAGGAGAAACCAGAAAGGAACCAATGAGACGGCTGTGACAAGGTATCACGTTAAATGCATCGAAATGTCGAAATGTCAACTAAGGAGTACAGTGATCCCGCAGTCTCTGACACCCAAATGGTTCTACTCTACCTGTTTGTTACCTAATTTCAGTGACTCTTTCTTTAAAACTGTTCAATCGAATGATAATTTGGTTTCAAACAACTCCAGCAAAGCAGATCAAATTACTGTAATCCATTTCCGAACTTTAATAACAAAAATTCTATCAACTTGCTATATACTAATGCTAGAAGCAGCAAAACTGTTAATATCAAAATTTAATGAACTAAAAGATCTTGAGGAAATTGAGGCCACAAATATGTACAATATTATTTTAATCACAGAAACATGGCTTACTAACTCAGTTTCCGGCAATGAGATTCCTAAATTGGGATACAATCTTCTAGCTTGAAGATCGGGCGTTAGTCCACAAGAAGAATGTGAAGCCCCTATCGCACTGGACTTGTGATGCCATTTCCAATGATGTTTACAATGCCACTGATGTCAACGCAGCTTGGATAGCTTTTACTGGTACTTTAGATGGTGCTCTCAGCACCTACGTTCCGAAAATAACAATAACAGATATCAATGCTCCTGTCTGGGATGTTGGCGAAGTCAGGCACATACGGAATAACAAATTTTCATCGTGAAAGTGAGCAAAATAAACTAATAGACCAGCCATGGACTGGGCAATATTTTGAAAAAGGCACAATTACTTTAATAAATTAACCAGACAAAAATTTAAAGATTACTTCAGTGACATTGGCTCATCTATTGTAAATAATTCCAAAAGTTTTTGATCGTTTGTAAGAAATAAAAAGTCTAAATGTGTGTTGAACTATAACTCAACGGCTAGTGATGACAAAGACAGAGCTACGCCTTTTAACAATATTTTTTTTTTCTACCAACCATGATACTTTTCCTGATGTCATTGTACAAAACAAAAAATTGGATTTAGGAAATATTGAGTTTCATGTAAACGATCTATGATTTACTCACTATAGTCTTGAAACAAGCAAGGCTATTGGTGGTCCAGATGGCATTTCACCTCTTTCACCCCTTATCTATCAACAACGCACAGGCCTGGAGTAAAACATGGGAGCTTTCCTGTATGGGCAGGGGTGGCCCCAGCCAGAGCTGCTCCACCTCCGCTAAAATTGATTAAATAAGCCTTCGAAACCCCTAAGCAGTCAAAATTGTGTCATTAATAATAGACCCGGTATAATGAGAACCTGCGACCCTCTTCCCCTAACTGGATACCTTTAATTGTCACAAAGACCTCGATTTTTTGATACAAAACTAGTATTTTCCAAACAAATTGATCACATTGCTGTTAAGAGTAATAGAATGATTAGTTTCATGCAGGCTTTGCAAAGGAATTGGACACCCCATACCCCTTGTTAATATACCTATTTAAACTCTTGTTAGAATATTTTCTGTTATTTTTAATTCTATTTCTGATTTTCGTATTACATATGCTCCAAGGCGTCCAAAACAAATTTGTTAGATTTCTTAATCTAAATATAATCATATTCCTAATCGTAACGTCGCTGTTCTCACGAACCGGAGCATCCGAATACGCAAAATCGCGATTGAAAATTCGCATTTTTTTTTAGTAGTGCACATTTCTGACCAGAAAAAAAAAATCGTCACGGGATTATTTTTATATTTATTATGTAAAATATATTAATAAATTGTAATTATAAATCACAATGTTTGTATTATTCTTATAAATGATTGAGATATTTGTCAGTTCGTGGGAACATTGTTTACGACATCATTGGCAGTTTTACTTCGTGAGAACAATATTACACTATCATGCCAAGTTAAAAAATGATTGTGTTGGCCACGCCCGACCGACTCAAAATGTACGAAATTGACGTTCGGCGATTTAGTTTCTTATTTTTGTTTTCTTTTTACTACAACAAAAATATTTTTTACTAAGCTAAAAAGGCTGGAATAGGCCTATCTTGTTGGACGGTAGGCGATGCGACAGTGTTATGTGATCGTTTTGTTCTTCAATATAGATTTAAACATAAAATGGTATTTGTGTATTTTCTACTCTTTAGGCATAAACACATTATTGGTTTAAAAAAAAAAAAAAAAACATTTCCTACCGACCTACTCATTTTTTTTGGGGGGGGGGGGATTTTCCCAAAACGTGGCAAACACAAGATTTTTTTTTGCCCTCATTCCGCGGCATTTGCCGCTATTGCATTATTATTTACATACATAAACCCATACATTTGGCGGTGTTTTTAATTTAATTCTTCATCGTGAGGCCCACACTATTGTTGAATACTTAAAACATGGTAAACGTTAATTATGTGTGCAAATATTACCATAGAATTTATAATAACACTTATTTATTTATAGGAAGATTCTTTTAAAAAGTGTAACTTAGATAAAGTGTAATTAAAAAACATGGACGTGTGTTGATTTGCGTAGTACTATAATTAGGCCTATCAATGGTATTAACATTCTGTTAATTTTGTTTATAAATTAATCAACGGTCGCCTATATTATATATCTGTTATACCATGGAGGTATTATTGAGAAGGAGATCACTCGAAAAAGCTACGCGCACGCAGCGCTATGCAAATGAACCCAGATCAAAGCTGCCGCAGCGCGTGAAGAACGTTTACGCGATGCCTTTGAAGTCCCATGTGTTCCCCGCCATCAAAATTTTCAGCAGGCATAGTTTACCAAAAAATTGAACATGGCGAAATGGAGAGCACCTTCTTTTCTCGATGCGCACTACATACAGTCAATCACTATGGCTGCGCAATCGTTTCCATTTTGAAGCTGGTTGCTAACGAAAAAATGTGAATTATAGGGTAATACGCCCGCGTGCGATCCAAAAGCGGGGAACACATAGGTTTGTCGCGTCAAAGGGATCTGTTGCCGAGTGATCTCCTTCTCAATAATACCTCCATGGTTATACCTAGGGCCTGCTAAGAATCATATTTATACCTGCTATCTGGTTAGTAATTAATATTTTTATTGTAGACCTATAGAATACTTTCTTCCGTCCGCTTGCCGATAGTCTATAGGCATATATCGTTGTGCTAATCACCGCCATGATCTTATTAACTGCAATTGACCGACGAATACATCATAATCAATCCATATTGTATGATTTTAGATATTTCTAGCTCTTGATTCCAATAGCCCATATCTCTAAATTGTGATGTTTGAAGTAATTCTTACGTAGTTGAGGCATTGATTGCTGTTTCTAGTCCTAAAATCTGAATTGCTCGCGGTTCTTATTTTATGTGTTCAAGTTTTTAATTTTTTTTTGTTAGCTAAAGGCTTTTTATAATAGGCTAGTCTGCCCGTTCATCAGTCCTCGATAATTACTGTACACGCGATGCGTATTCGTCTTTTCGTAGTGCGTGAATGAATTAAGTGGTGAATATGTAGTAATCGCCACTTCGTTTGACCAAATTGTATAAAATACTCTTGTATAAATCCACACAGTGGCGGCGTTACGGGGGGGGGGGGTGCTAGGCAGAGCTACCGCCACCCCCCCCCCTCCGTCGGGGAGACTTTGCACCCACTTCCCGTTTGGGAGAAAAACTAAAAAACTACAGTTCGTCGGGAGAAAAATAAAAAAAATTATAGTTATTTTGTACATATATTAATAGACCCTAAAATCGATTAAATAAGTATTTGAAACCCCTAAATTGTCATATTTTCAGGGGGATATCTCCCCGTGGACCACTTTCGAAAAGTTTTTAGCGACGCCCGACCACACCCACTTTTTTCTCGTTGGGGTCATAAGTCCCCCACCCCCCGCCGGGAACCTTGGACCCCCCGTCGGGGATATCCTGGCGCCGCCACTGGGACACATAATCTTAAAGTAACCCTTATTCGCCAAATGATTAATTAGCGTAATTAGTTAATTAGAATACAGATTTGATATTTGGACAAAATGTTTCCTGAAATACATGTTTGTATGAACATCCTTGAAATTATCTTCAAGTCTACTATTTATGTACCTTTCAACAGCGTTAATGTTTTCAAAGGAGTCTTTATAACTCATTAATTTAGTACGAACACTTATATTTTTTCAGATTTCAAAACTTATTGTATAAATATATTAAAAAGAAAAAAATATACTTGTCTATCATAGATTTATATTTTTTTGATTATTATTTACTTTAACAAATTTTAACACTTTTGAAATTACTTTAATTTTTATATGTAACTAAGTAATTTTATATATTCATACAATGTATTATTGTTTTAATTCTGTAATTGGCAAGTTTCGTTGCTGTAAGATTTTGAGAAAATAAAAAATAAGAATTCCAAAAACTAACAAATTAATTTTATGTGGCCTTATAACTTAACGTATACTTGTAAATTTACCAACAATTCAGTAAGAATTAGGTATGACGAGTGAATACTGATTGTTTGTGCAAGATATTTTAATAATATTAATGTTTGATTTCACCTACAGATCAATGAACTACAATAAGATGACTACTTTACCAATGTTTCCTAAATATATTAAAGAAATGTAAGTGTTAAATTCGATACTACTTTTACCTTTTATCTGTTTTGTAAAGCGCTGTGATATCTTTGATAAGAGCGCTCTATAAATGACTGAGTTATTTTTATTATTATAACTACTTCATGTTATTCAAATTATACTTCATGTTATTCAAATTATATATATA